GGAATGGAACACCATCACTGGTCTGCTTTCATCCATGCACCTTTTAAGCAGCAACTTGGAATTTGGCAGCATCTCTGCTGTGGTTTCACAGATGTGCATCCAAATGTAAAAAAAAAAAAAAATAAAAGTCTCAAAAAAAGATAAAATCTCAGATTGCATGTGATTGGTTAAGAATCATTGACTTTTGTCATTTTGCTGAGTTTTCCAAAGGCCAGTCGGAGCTGACAGAGCCCACTCCACGTTCGGGGGCTTTTGCGGGGCAGCCGGGTACAATCCGTGCCCAAGGCAGGGGGACCACGAGTGCTCCTCCCTTCCTGTGACATCTGGGTGCCTCTCCTGTGTGCACCCCCTCCCTTTCTCCTGCTGAGCAAAGGAGGATGGGTCACAAAGATGAAAGTGTCTGGGAGGAGGCCTGCAACCAGGGAGCAGAAAGTGAGAGGAAGGAGGAGATGAGGACGGCAGAGTCCAAGGAGACAACTACTGCTGACCAGTGATAATTCTCCTGGGACTTCATGGGCAGAAATCAATTGTGGAAGCAGTTCTGCATGACTAGGGAAAAAAAGATTATACATATTTACATAAAGAGATCCTGCTATGCCATGGGAAAAGGTATATTGGGTAAGGAGATTAATAAGCCTCATGGAGATAAAGATAAGATGCTAGAGAAAATAATTAAGAAAAAATAAGAGGTTTAGTGTGCAACTAAAGCAAGGATATGAAAATAGAGCGTGAAGTGCGTAAGAAGGCAGGAACCAGGGGATGGAGAGATGGATAAACAGTGTGGAAGAGAAAGAGCTGGGAGTTACCTTAAAACAGCAGAGAGGAGAAAGAGAAGGCAGGAGCCAGGCAGGAGGACGAGCATCAAGGGAAAGAAGGGGAGTGAGTACAGATTGAACTCTGAGACTAGGCTGATCTTCTGAGTCAGACATAAATGCAAATAGTGATTTATCTGTAATGGTATAGGAACAGGAATCAGGTATGACTAACATCTATAGCCACATTTTCTTTTCTTGTTAGAGATCTTTATCGCACATTCTGGATCTCATGAGCCAGAGCCCTGGAGTTAAGGTGACCGCGTGTCATTATCTGTTTATTTTTCAGGCTTCCTCTCTCTGATTTTGTTAACAAACATTCAAGTGCCTGAAGTGCAATATGTGGCTTTTTTTAAAAATCACAGTCAAAAGTATTTCTGCAAAATCCATTTGAAAATGCTACAAGTAATTTTGAAATGATAAGTAGGGCTGCCAGCAGTGTCTCCCACTGGCAGAGCAAAGCAAGGCCCTGCATTCAGCCTGATGGCCTTTCACTGTGGCTGTTTGTCCTCTAAGAGGGCTTGCACCATCCCCATTACATTGTGTGTAATTCATCACAGGGGTCAGCAGCCCTGCCTTGGCAATTGTACCTCCCACCCCCAGGAACAGGCCTGGAGATACAGGAGCAGAGTGGGAAAGGGCTGGAGATACAGGAGCAGAGTGGGAAAGGGCTGGAGATACAGGAGCAGAGTGGGAAAGGGCTGGGTGCTGCCCACGGGCAAAGCAGAGCTGGAGGTCACTGAGCAGCAGCCAGGGAGGGGAGTGGGAGGTGTCCTGCCCCGTGGTACTGCTGGAGCTGCAGAGACACCAGTTCTACTCCTCCGGTAGTAAAATGGGGAAACATTGAAATTTGCCCCTGCCGTGGTGATTCAGCTTGCAAGCATTTGCCATTTATGTTAAATTCCAATTTTTTCAATATAAATGGCAAATGCTTCCCCACAAACAGCATGTTTGGTCTGTCACATTTTCTGCAAGCTGAAGGCAAGCTTTGCAGAACTGAGCTTTACTTTCCTTTTGAGACTGAAAGCAGCACTGCTGTCAGAAGATTGAGTTGTTGGTGTGTATCAGGTGATAGAAAAAATTACTCTGCACATGGTCTGATTTTTTTTTATATACATACTTGGGATCTGCAGGTGTTGATTTGCTGTATGTTTATCTGTTTGCCATACTGATAGCTTAAATCCACAAACTACACTTCTAATAACAACTCCTAGGGAGAAGGTTGCTGTTACTGCTTGGTTCCTCCTAAAGATTAAACAGAGCTAAAAGTTGGTACATTGACCTCTTGCTTCTTGAGGCAGATCTCTGTTCAAATTCTGACCTACGTCCTGGCTAAAAACGTGTTCAATCTTTTCTTAATTTGTAGTAGATACTTGTGTACATTACAAAATCATCTCACAATTTGGCAAATTAAGTTGTCTGTGGTTAGCCCTGGAATTGCAGAGATATTGCAGTGCATGCAGCATTGCATAATGAGGTTCCCCAGACTTTCCTTACTCGAGTGAGTAACAGCAATTCTTATCTCTAGTGAGCATCGGATTTGTCCCGTTTTTGAGAAAAGAATTAGTATCAAATCTACGATGGGCATGTTATGCCTTGTGGCTGCAATGTTGTTTCAATTAACTTCCCTGAATATACCACAATGAAAAGTGTCAGCTTTTTGCCTCAGAGGCCTATAATTAGATTAAATGAATACTGTTAATTATCTACTACCTTCTTTACACAAAACAGTATGTTTCCATAAATTAAAATGCTGGTACAGGAAGGAAATTGTTGTTCTCTGTAATATGTGCACACAGTGCTGGATTGTGAATACTGTGACTGCATCAAAGTGTAGCACAGCTCTGCAGCCCTTATTTTACAGGAGCTGAAACAAATTACAACTGAAAAATCCACAGACAGCACACTATTTTAAAGCATATATGTTGGTGCAAGGAGGTGATTTTACTAAATGTTACAGCTCTCCTGAAACAAATACACTTTCCTCTTTAACAGATGTTCTCTATAAAATTCTCTTAGGGAGATTAAATACAGCTTTGTTTGTGTACCTACAGTCACACCCTCAAGGACTATGTTATGTACAGAGAAAAAAACTGCTTTTTCTAGCAGAGTGTACTTCTCCTTTCAGAAAAATTTTAAAAGTCCGTTCTGTGGGAAGCATTTACAATTAACAGCTTGGTTTCCAGGCCTGTGTATATTCCAGCTAGTGTGGACTGAACATCTCCTCTGCCTGTTCTCCAGCATTACTAGATGCAAGCAAAAGTTCCTGACTGATCAATTCAGTCCCATCCTGGCATGCCTGGTTTGGAAGTGCAGATTTTCAAATGGTGGTACATCACCTCTAGGGTAACAAATCTGAAGCAGAAAGTACTCTTTTTTTGATTTGGCAAAGTGTATCCCAATGTCCCTATTTCCATCAGAATAGATGTTAATAACTTCAGGCCTGAACATGGATCCTCCCTCACCAGAAAATTACAATTAACTTTAGCAGAAGCCCTCATTCGGGCCTGCAATATACTCCGCATATAAATGTGATCTGTACCCAGGACTGCTCTTGTGTTTCATTAAGGTCAAACCCTGAAAAGCTTTTGAATACTCAGTGTTCCTACAAGGCATCGCATTTTATTGTGGTTTGTGCTGTGTCTCTTTTCCTTTAAATGTTCATTAGCTCCGTGTATGTAAAAGTGTTCATTAAAATATCATTGTGCTGGTAATAATCTTAATATTGAGGAGTGAAGAGGGCTGTGTTGCAGTAGAAATGCTGCCCCGTTTCCTGCTCTCAGGGTGTAACAGGAGAAAGAAAGACCATCTTGATAGGCACTATCTGCTGAAGGAAAACTTTCAGAGGAGCTGTGAATCGACTTTAACCTTTTAGTGGCTGCACTGTGAAGAAAATGTTTCAAGCTTCCTACCTCGAATTAGGCTTCTTTAATTTAAAAGATTGATAAATGCTAGTGGCCCTTATAATTACTGCTACAAATATCAGAAAACAGTTACAGAGGAACAAAGAAATGCGACTGGAAACATGGTTCAGTGGTCTTGTACTTCCCTGAAAAGCTGATTATACTTTTGGCTGATTCACTTTCTTTCAGAGGGAATTTACCCTTTCTGGCAGTTTGAGTCTGGCTGCACCAACGGCACAAAATGTATCTGGGGATGAAGAAATTGGCTCGGGGTCCTCTGTGTGTCAAACTGAAATTTGCCACCGAGCTCTAGATTTTGTCTTTTAGCCCCTGAGTGCCCCTTGTTTGGTCAGATTCAGAAGCCATTTTAACACTAGCTTAAAAATAGAGCCATTTCATTTGTGCTTTTGCAGGTGCCTTGCCCAATTCCATGCTTTCCCTGCATGACTTATCTTGTAGGATAAGCACTAATCAAAGGTCAAGGTTATTCTGAAGTATCCAGCATAGGAGAGCTCTCTTTCTCGTAGATCCTTAAGCTGAACTTCGCACAATTATAACTGATACTGTGCTGAAAGGTAATTCAAACAGGGAAAAAGTACAAAATGACAAGCAGGAACCTTTGGCACTGTAAAATGTCCCTGGTGATTTGTACTGAGTGCTTCTTCAAAACGCAGAAGCCATTTTACCACTCAGAGCCATGGCAGAAGTGAATTATTATTTTTTTCCGAGTGGGACTCTGCAGACCAGGGCTTCAGAGCCAGGCTTGGCACATCTGGCTCTCAAAAATGTGCCATGTACTTTACATCCGAAGATAATTTTCTCGCCTCCGTGACACAGAAGCCAAGAAGCGTGGATTTTTCCTCCCCCCTCTCTCGCCTGTCTGATTTTAAAATGTAACACAAGGTCATGCATGAAAAGCTCCGGCTGGGAGATACACCTTGCTACCCATTTTTTTTTAAGGAAACCTGGAGACAAACCTGCCGGGTTTTGCCTTCTACGTGAGCTGCGGTGGGAGAAGATGCTTCTGCATCCCTGGGCGCGGGGCTGGGGGAGGAGAGCCCGGCGCAGCAGCGGGAGCCCCGCCGCCGCCGCCGCCCGGCAGCGGCCGCAAAGATGCGTTAGAAACATCCCCCGGCAAGACGCGGGTCCCTTCTCTGTACTCACTGCGGCTGCGAAAGCACCGGAGTTTCGCTGAGGAGACTCCAGTCCCGGCTGCGGGGAGAGGGAGGAAAGGGAGGGGGAAAGAGAAAAGGGGGGGAAAAAAAAAAAAAAAAAAAAAGGGGCGCAGTAGAAGTTGCGGCGGCGGCGGGAGAGAGGCGGCGGGGGCGGCCGGGGTGTCCGAGCCCCGGGCCCGCAGCGCTGCCCGCCCGGCGGCCGCCCCGGGCCTGTCGGGGGAACCGGGGCGCAGCGAAGCGGCGGCGGAGCCCGCGGAGGAAACTAAATAAATAAAATCAGACTGTTATTTAAGGCGCGTAAATTTAAAATTATTTGGACAGGAAGAGCAAGGGGAGCGGAGCCGCAGGAGCCAAAGTAACGGTTTCGGAGCCGGGCGCGGCCCCCCCGCCCCGCGGCCCCGCGCCCCGGCGCTCCCCGGGGGCCGCCCGACCTGCCCGCAGCCCGGCCGGCGCGACCCTCCCTCCTCCCCGGGGACCCCGCAGAGCCCTCCGGGAGCACCGACATTTTGAGTGCCTGTGTGGTGGGGCAGGCTGTGCTGAGAGCCGGTGAGAAATCTTTCTTTCTCTCTCTCTCCTTCTTTTCTTTCTCCCCAACAGTCCCCACGGATAAATGTAAAAGCCTTCCTCCCCTCGCTTTTTCGAGGGAATTTCAGCACTTTAGTCAGGAGATAATAATGTCTGGCTGCTTCTGGCTGCCCAGTGAATTCCCAGGTACATTTGTGGAAGAAAACCTTTTCTCTCTTTTAGAAGATGAAAAGTGGTAACTTTCTCCTGTGTTAACTCTTTCTTCATGTGAACAGTGCAATGGCATTTCCTAGGGAGCTGATATCTTACCCCACCGTGGAATAAACCATTGATTCCATTCCTCTCCCCACACTGAAAGCTGGAAAGAAAGTATTTTCCTGTACTTAAATGTGCTGTGGCTTATTGCACTGGAGACTGAGGAAAATTCACCTTCAAATACCTTCTCATTCACTCTCCCCCGGCTAAGGGCAGTACAGTGCCCTGCACCTCTGCTCGTGTGTCCCCAGCACCCACAGATCGGGTATTTCACCCTAGCACGGTGCTGCTGCCACAGATTAAACTCTCTTCGTTCCCTCTAGGATCCCTTTAGGATCTGTCCCTTTCCAAAAGGAGCTCAGCAGCCCCCGCCGTTGTTCCGAGGATAATTTAGAAACAAAGGTCAAGTGCAACAGCTTTGCTCATCCGTGTAACTGAAATAGGGGAGAGGGCTGTTGCCCCACAGTTGTGTCCTCACACAGCCTGGTCACTGTGAATCCTGGTACAGCTATGTTTTATGCTCTATTTCTTCACGTTTTTCTGTGCTTGCTGTATTTGTTTCTATTTATACCTCTCATCTCGATACTGCACTGTTTGCTGCCGATTCCTGGGCTGCTGCAGGGCGATCTCCGCTCCTGCCTGCAGACTTAACTTGGCAGTTGGTTTGTGTCTCAATAAAACCCCTCAAAAATCCTCAATTCAATCTCACACGCTGCAGTTGTGCATCTCTGGATAAATACGTTTGTCGACATTTTCAGGAATATGCGAATTTTTGAAACTGGACTTTTTGATGTTGCCAGAATAGTGGGGGGAAAGCGCCAAAGCAATTTCTGAAACCACATGGGATATTACAATCCTTTTTAGGTGTCAAGATTCCCTATTAATGAGACTCGCATTATATTATTTTCTCCTCGCTCAGTGATTATAAAGACTTCTGGAGGAAAGGCATTCCCCAGCAGCCGGGCACCTTTTGTCACTGGCAAACCCTGTGAGGTGCGGGTAACACCAGCTGACTGATTTCTTTGGTTTCCTAGAGGCTCTTTGCAGTAACTATTAACTTCCTGGGATAATAGAGAGCAATTTTTTGCTTTCCAAGTACCTAACTAGGAATTTCAATTGATCATCTTGTTGAGGGGCTCACAGAGAAAACGCAGCAGTGAAATCAGATAAAACACACCTTTAAACCAGACTATCAGCCGTGACTCAGCCGCCGACGCTTTGGGCATGGCCGGGGGCTGATCCGTCCTGGCTTTAACCCTGAACTCCTGGCACGCAATAAAAGCCGCTATTTCTGACTAGGCGGGGCATTTTTCTCGGAAGCGAAGTTGTTCTTATTAAGCCACTGCTTAAACTTCGCCTTAGCGTAAATTAAATGCTGATGAAGCTCCGAACGGGTTTGAAATTAGGTTTTTTAGTAGCACGGGTGAAAAAAAACAATTAACAAACGTGAGAAAGCTGGATGTTACCTTCTGGTGTAGCACGGAATTCCTCTATGTGAGAGGAATGGAGAAGGAAAAGGCTTGGAGCATCCTCCAGGACACGAGGAAAGGAAGATGGAGAGCAGCACAGAGCGATTTGGGTCACTTCATCTGGGGGACCTGTGGATTATGTTGCTCGGTTGAATATTTCAGGTGGTTTAGTGCTCTTTCTACTGGGAATTTTGGGGTTATTTCTCTAAAAATGCTTCTTATGTGCTGTGCTGCTCTGATTAATGATCATGGCACAATTTTTCATATTTCACAGAGGTTTTTAATCAGAACACAGCAGCGTGACAGAGCTTATAGTAAATGTGACAGACAGTTTCAGCAAATTTCTTTTTACTTGAAAATGTAGTAACTGATTTTGGGGGGCTAATTAAAAAAAAAAAAAGTTAAAAACTAAGACTATTCCCTCTCCTCTTTTAAGTGCTATTTAAAGTAGTATTCATTTTTCATTTATTTAAAACCTTCTATTTTGCACGACTGAAATTTAGACTATTCAAAATAAAGCACTTTAAACTGCCCATCTGCCCAATAAGTAGATCCTGTGCAAATGTTAAAAGTTTCATAATAGACTCTTCCCGACACGGTGCTGAGCATCGTTAGCTCCTGTTGAGGCTGGAGAGGCAAATGAGTTTCAGTCTGGTGAATACTCTCAACTCTCTGTTGCAATAGAAAATTTCCAATGGTTAAATTGTGTTTTAGGTGCAAGCAATAACTTAACTTCACAAATATGAAAAGTGCTGCTTCCTAAATGTCACCGTATTCAAATATTCTTGTTTTGTGAGATGCTGTCATTAAAATAGTTTATTTCCAGAAAAAAACAGAATAGTTGTTGGAAAGCAAATATTACTTAGAGAACATCTAAACTGCAATCAGCAGATGGAGCGACCAGAAGTGTTGTGTTGCAGCTTTCGTGTCCTCTTTGACAATGGTTCTCTGCTGCTTGTTTTGAAACTAGAAAAAAAAGTCCTCTGCAGTGCACAGTAAACACGAACTACTAAACTGAGCTGTTTAAAACCTCTGGCAATCGAAGAAACACCACTTATACTGTTTCTGGTAACTAAATTCAAAACCAGATCGGTGAAAGTTTAAATATACAAAGAGGGAAAGTGTCATCTACATTTAGAAAGTAAGTGACCTAGTTCTACAAGCTCTTGTTAGTGACAAAATACAGTTACTGCCTAAAGCATCTAAGCGCCATCCACTGCCCTCATGCCACGCAGCCTTTGACATCCAGCTCTGCCTGTGCAGGGGCTGCAGATCACCCCTTATTAAAAAGATGTTTTTATCTAAAACAGGACCTCAGACTCTTGAGCCTGACCGAAAGGGGTGGGGGGAGTGAGGAGAAGGGAGGGGTGCATTGAGAGGTGGGAGAAATCACAGTAAACTATTTCCTTTTCTTAAAAGTCCAGCAATATTAAGCATGTGAATAGTAGTTCTTGTATTAATGACTTGATATGAATGACCTAAAATAAATTGTAAAAGTTGATACTGGAAAACTAATATGAGCAACCAACATACACACGGATGAGCCTGGGAGTACTGTGTAAAGTGAAAGGTATAGGAAACTGCTGGGAGCATGGATTTGAAACTTATCCATTGTCTAAAAACCCACCTCTGGAATTTCTTGAGACACTACCAGCTGTTCAGAAGGAAAAAAAAAAAAAAAAGAAAAAAAAGAAAAGAAAAAAAAAAAGTAATGTGGCAACAAATGTTGTTAAAAAGGAGGAAAACACCCCAAGAACTGTGCACACCCTCACGTCCAAAGGAGACCCCGTCCTGGCGGGGCTCAGTCCATGCTGGGGGGGAAGGAGCTGCTGGCCTCCAGGAGTTCCACCACGGCTGCCCTCCTGTAGAGCTTGGCCAGGTCGTAGGCGGTGGCCCCCCGCTTGTTCTGGTGGCCCACCTTGCACTCGGAGTGCGCCAGCAGCAGCTGCACCACCCGCACATGGCCCTCCTGGGCCGCCAAGTGCAGGGGCAGGTTGCCGTCGTTGTCCTCAATGTTAACATCGGCTTTGAACTCCAGCAGAGTCTGCAAAGTGTCCAGAAAGCCCTCCCTGGCTACATCGTGGATGACAGCGAAGCCGGTACTGTCTTTCAGGTTGGGGTTGGCCCCGTTGCTGAGCAGCCGCCGGGCGATTTCGGGGTTCCCGAGTTTCATCACCTGCGAAAGAGAGAGGAGAATTGGATACCGCGGGTGGGGGTTTGCTGCAGCGCTGCCTCCCGTCCTCGCTTCTCGTCCCTGGCTTTTGTCAGAGTCCAATTCTCATTTAAAGCAGACAGAGGAGGCTCGCTATAGAGCTAATGACACACCAGAACGTCTCGTTTTTCATGCATTTGTTACTGAACTCGGTGAAATTGTGAAAGATGTTATCATTTCGGTGGTCATAGCTTTCTGCCTCGGAGAGATTAATGCCTGAAATAGCACAGAATGGCATATAACAACTTCTTTTTTTTTCCCCTAACGAGGGTCATCTCAGTTTCTTAACATATAAAAATTAAGTATAGTTCGGTTTTATTTGCCTAAGTTTTGAGACACCTCTGCATTACTGTTTAATCTTGTTAAACAGCAAATATAGGGTCTCTGAGGAACAGATATTTTACCTAAGCAACAGCAAATGTAGAATGTGTTTTTACAAGCTTTCAGGTGTTTACATTGTCTGTGCATTATCATAAAACAAATATTTGGACTGTACCATAGCTCTCTCTGTTGAGAAACATAAATGTTAAAAGAAATTCTTCTCCCCAATATTTGTGTTTCATTAGGTCACCCAAAAAGGAAAAGTCAAAAGGAATGTTTCAAAGTGACAGAAGTTGTCTTCTAAAATCAGTATATTATATTATACTTTCATAACCTTTCTATAAGTAAACAGTGGCTATGTTCTGTCGTTAAAACATCCCTTAAAAAAAATACAACAACAACAATAATTGGATTTTCTGACTGTTTCTCTCAGGGAAAAAAAAAAAAAAAGCTTCTTTCAATTTTCTCAATTGCACCATAAAACTATCATAATTAGAACACAAATCTCTCTTATTTGTAACTTAACTGCTTGCACCGATTTCCTTGTAATTCCTCATTTTTTGTTTGCACACTTTCCAAAAATGAACACTGTAATGTATATTGTGTAATCTCTACCCTATAGGCAGTATTTTCCTGTCCTTGTAACTAGTCTCATTGTAAGTATAAAATTCGAAAAAATACCAACTCTTTTCTATTTCCTTACAGAGAAATTCACACATTGATTTGAAAATCTTGATTAATTAAAAAAAAAATCAGCATAAACCAGCATTACAGTGCATTAGATTTAGCTTAAGGTACAATTTCTACAGAGGTTTGCTGAAAATATCTCCTGACGAAAAATATATATCAAGTTTTTAAAGAAAAAACATGATATAATAAATACACTTATGTACAGCGTTTGAAGTGTAAAGCAGCCCAACACATTATAACCACAGACAGGAGCAAAAGTGCAGATAAGACAGGCTGGGATTCAGGGAAAGAGATCTCTCTGTGCCCCAAGGCTTCCAGCTCCCGACTTCCAGGCACTTCTTTCACTTCTGACAGAGATGGAAGCGATGTAAAAGAAAACAAGATCATTGTGATCTCTCTTTGTTTAGTAAAAACCGGACATTCTGATCTCTTTTTGAGAGCCCAGGCTGTGTTATTTGTGAATTCAAAACATATATTTGGGTTAAGTGGGAGTTTTCAGTGTTCAGGCCAGGGGACTGAAGGCTTCAGTTAAAGATGCGAGGGGGAGAAAATCCTAAAAAAGGTGATGCTTTTTGGCCGTGGGCTACAACTGAACAGCAAATGCCTCCTATATTTAGCAAAATAATGCTAGGGGGGAGGGAGGTGAAGAAGTAGAAAGCGTTAATTTAATAAATCTGACAAAGAGCATAAGGGCAGGAGATGTATTTGAGGCCTGCATAGGTACACCTCACCAGAAATAAAAAGGACAGAGCAAGACAAGCCGAGTAGTTGTTTAATTAAACATAAATGCAGAGGAAAAATATAAATTCATTTACATTAACACAGGAGCATTCTCTCCGTTGTAATTGAGAGAGAGATTACAGAGAGATTATCTCACTCTTGCAGAGTGCACTGAGAGAAAAGTCTTTCGAGCGTGGCCAGGCACCCACAGCATATTTCAGGATGATACATATTGAAAATAAGTCGACAGATTCTCCTGTTTTGTTTTTTGTGGTGGTTCATTAGCTCAGTTGTTGTAATCCCTAAGAAGTATCGTTAGGGAACAGATGCATGTTTAATGCAGCTGGATGCTATGTAATTGTGTAAAGTATACCTTAATTCAGGATATGGACAGTTAGCTGCTTTAAGAAAAAATATCCAGCATTCCTGCAGGACAAGTCAGTTTTCAGCCCTTGTCCCGAGGATAAATCAGCTAGCTAAATGTTTTCTTCTTTCTTAAAGAATTTAGCTTGTCTAAGTTTTTAATTTAAACCCTTTCACTCTCTTAAAATTTGCTGCAAGTGCCTGCACTGCCATGCGATGCCCTATTTAGGTGTTAAGAGGACAGCGAGGAGCTCACAGATCTCCAGCTTCAGCAAAATTATCAAAAAAGGGTCATTCCTGCATTATCAGCAAGAGGTGCTTATTTTCCAGCTCTAACATTTTGATGTTAAGCCAAAAAGCTGTAAATATCTCGACTACATTCACAGGTTCTATGTTGTCTAAAAATACACTTTCAGAAATTATTACCATGGTTTTGGGGGAAGGGGGAATAGGGGTTAAAAAACGATTTTATTAATGTATGAAATTAAAAAGACCTATAGCTCCACTTCCACATTGCATTACTTGCAACTGAAGTACAAATAACCCCATTTATTTTCCCTCTGGATTTATAAATCACATCTTTCACTATTTGGTAGGTATTCTAGCCTTTTTGCCATCATTATCTGATAATATTAAAAGCAAAATCTTTCATCAGCTACAATAGTTAGCAGTTGGACGAGTTCCAACTCCTGCCTGCACAACTACAGAGTTAAAAATTAGGGCACAGAACCCTATACGATCAGAAAGGAAATAACTGGAAGCAGTGCCCTGCTAACCGATCTGAAAAAAGCAAATTTTAAAGTCTTAAATATGAATGAAAAAGCAAGTGATTCAGCTGGAACCCTGGCTCGCAGGGTTAGCTCTTAATGTACATCGGAGGTCCTCGCTTCTGAGCAGCATGATTCCCCATGAGAAAGGTCATTCCCACAAACAGAGTATAAAGGAAAAGTACCATCCACAGCACACCCCAGAACCCAGACGAGCCACGCTTTAAAAGCACATTGCAGGAAAAAGAAAAAAAAAGGGAAGAAAAAAAAAATTAAAAATCCTAAGCTTCAAAGAACAGAACATTTGTGTTTACAGACCTGCTATGAAATCTTGCTCACCTAAGCTGA